CTATCATCTGGAAGTCCATCTTCTGTGGGTAATAATTTAGGAGGGCGAAACTCACCCGGTTGTTGGGGTCCCGTTTATCCACAGTGGGGAACACCACCAAATGCTCCACAGTGGAGAACACCACCAAATGCTCCACAGTGGGGTACACCACCAAATGCTCTATAGTGGGGTACACCACCAAACTTTCAACAAGGCGGTTCATTTGGAACGACTCCAGCAAATGTCCAATATGAATTTTCACTTGGTGGCCGGGGAGAAAATATGAGGAACACTCAACAAGAAGCTTCATCATCGGGTCTCAGTTTTACAAATTATTTTGAAACTGGACAAATGCCACAAACACCTAGACCTGGAGGTCTCTTCAACATTTGGAAAACCCCACAAGAACCAAATGCAAGTCATCAAAGTGATGTAGGAGAGATGAAGATTAGTTTGTGATGATTGTGTCTTATTAATCTCGTAATGTTTTGAAATGAATAATGTTTTTTTAGTTTATTTTTGTATTGTATTTAATATGTTATTGTAAAATAATCCATTTTTAATGATATATCGTTTGTATTTAATTTCAGGTATTTTTTATATGTCAGTTACAATCACGAGGCCTTAACAATATAAGTTACGAAGAGAGAATTGAACTGTGGAATTTTGAAAATGAACAATTTGAGGAGTTAGTAATTCAACCAGATTTGACTTACTATGATCGATATTTTCAAAGAGCACCGGTCCAAACAGATGGAGGTTTGGGATGGAGGAATATTACAACAAGATGATGCAGCTTGTCTTCAGTTATTACGGATGTCACTTCCATGTTTCACAACATTGTGTAATATGTTGGAAACAAATTATGATCTACAACCAGCATTAAATATAAGTATTGAAGAAAGTGTGGCTATGTTTCTACGGATATGTGGGCACAATGAAATTAAAAGAGATGTTGGTTTAAGATTTGGTAAAAATCAAGAAACTGTGCAGAGAAAATTTAGGGAAGTTCTTACGGCAACTGAATTATTGGCATGTGATTATATTTGAACTCCAACAAGACAAGAACTTTATTGAATCCCTGATAGACTTCAGGTAGACCGAAGATATTGGTCATATTTTAGTGGATTTGTTGGAGCTATGGATGGAACTCATGTATGCGTAAAAGTAAAGCCTGACTTACAGGGAATGTATTGGAATCGACATGATAATGCATCATTGTACATCATGACAATATGTGATTTGAATATGTTATTCATATATATTTGGAATGGAGCACCATGATCATGCCATGATACAGCTGTTTTGCATATGACACAACAAAGTGATTATGAGTTTCTTTTGCCTCCGTCAGAGAAGTATTATCTTGTTGATTATGGCCATCCAAACAAACAAGGATTTTCGGCTCTTTATATAGATCATCACGAAACCGAGTCGTGAGATATCATATGTCTCAATTCTATTCTGGTACTCTTCCAAGGAATAAACATGAACTGTTCAACCAGTGTCACGCATCTTTACGTTCTGTTATCAAGATAACTTTTGGAGTTTGGAAGAAAAAATGGAGGATGTCTTTCTGATTTTCCAAGATATAATGTTCACATTCAAAAAATAGTGGTAATGGCTACGGTTGGATTACATAATTTCATCAAAATTTCAAATTTCTCAGATGCAGATTTCGCAGATGTAATGAGAGAAACAAATATAAATAGCAGAGATTTTGAGCATGATGTAGATGACATGGATGCAACAGAGTTGTTAGATGGATTACATATGACGCAAATAAGAGAGAATATTGCAAATATGTTGTGGGAAAATCAAAATACTCGATAATTTGTTTTTTTAAGTATTGTACTTTTTCTGATTAAACTCTTTAATTAATTTAACAATATGTATGTCAAAATTTTAAACTTTTATTTTCGATAAATTTGGATATTTAATGTTCATAAGTATATAAAAATATTTATTTATTAACACTAAACAAAAATAATATATAATTTTACTAATTATTAATATAATAATATTTTCTAGTATATTTATTATAATAAATAATCCGCACCGTTTTTTACTTTTTACCATTCACACATTTTATTGTGTACCGCAAATAGTTTTTTTACCAATCAAACATTATTTTGTACCACTAATTCTATAAAAACCGCACTTATCCCGCAAATACATTTCTCTTGCATATACCGCAGTTGAACCGTACCGCACTATAAAACCGCTTTTTCCGCACAACCAAATACGCTATTACCAGTCAGACCCTAATAGTTATTTTGTTGTTACATCAAAAAGTTAAAATTTACTATATTTCTACTTTATATAAAAATAACAAAAATAATTTAACTTATGGTAATATTCATCAAATTATTTTATTTATTTCATGGAAATTTATATTACAAAACAAAATCTTAATAGTTTATAAATTTTATTTATGAATAAATATGTTTGCATTTCAATAATTTTATACAACATTTTGAAGCTATAAATAAATGAACCAATAAAATTACTCTATTTTTAATGAATTTATATATATGAAGTGATAGTATATTTTTTTTAAACATACATATGTTATAAATGAAATAGAAACATACCTTGATTCCAAAAATGAGTTATGACCTTAATTTTGTGTGTGTGTAAGAAATCATATCCTTTTTTATGTAAAAGCAAGTAAGAGATAGGAATTTTTTTTGTGTGTACAAAAGAGATTCCTTAGAATGTATTATATAGACAAAGATGATAATAAAAATAAATAAAAAATTGTTTTTGAATTGTGTGTTGCTTCTTTACTGATGAAATACCACATTTCTTATCATTTGTGGATCACCCACTTTTTCTACTAAAAGATAAGAATCTATTATATAGACAAAGATGATATTAAAAAAAAAGTAAGAAATTGTTCTTGAATTGTGTGTTGCTTTTTTATAGATGAATACCCAATTTCTCATTCATTTGTGGATCATCCACTTTTTAAAACATACATATATTATAAATAAAATAGAAACATACCTTGATTCCAAAAATGAATTATGACCTTAATTTTTTTTTTTTATGTAAGGCATCATATTCTTTTAGTGTAAAAGCGAGTAAGAGATTAGAATTTTTTTTGTGTGTACAATAGAGTTTCCTTAGAATGTATTATATAGACAAAAATGATATTAAAAAAGGTTTTGTGCAAAAAAAACCTTCAAAGTCTTCCATTTTTCCAACTTTACCCTCCACCTCTGAAAAATGCAGAATAATCCTACGAAGTCAAAAATAATACGCAATATAGCCCTTTTTGCTATTGTCAGGTTCTTAAAAATTGGTTAAGTAATATATCAAATCAAAGCCCTCGAGAAGAGGAGCTCAACTCTACCTTTAGATTTTTGAAAATCAAATGTATGCGATCGTGAATACGTTTACAATATATGTATAAGAGCTATTCTGCGTATTATTTTTGACTTCGTAAGATTATTCTGTATTTTTCGGAGATGGAGGGTAAAGTTGTAAAAATGGACGACTTTGAGGGCTTTTTTGCACAAAATCCTATTAAAAAATAGAAAAAAAATTGTTCTTGAATTGTGTGTTGTTTCGTTACGGATGAAATACCCTATTTCTCAATCATTCGTGGATCACCCACTTTTTTTACTAGAAGACAAGAAAAATTTGTTCAATTACGTTTCTCCGTTTATTAGTGAACCCAAATAATTATAAGATAAATGGAACAATAAAAGCAAACCATTTCGAAAAATGTGTCATCTACGTTTTATCCACTTTTTATCCGTTACCCATTCAAGGTCATTATTTAACTATAAAACACATAGAATTAAAATTATTGTGAATGATTAACTCAAATACGTATTTTCTACACCCTATATATGAATCACCTTTTTCCGTCTCTGCGCTCAAGTTCTATGTGTGTGTGTCAGCTAATATACGAGATAGAGTGGGATATTATTAGGTCGGATGGTTGAGTTTGTATAAAGCACTATGACTGTTTTCACCTATATTTTTTTTTGTGACAACTCATTGACAAAATAATCACATGTGATACATGCTTTAGAGTCCAAGAACACCTTCAACTTTATTTTTTTAAAACTGATGATAAGAACAAATTACACTTGATCTTAGCCAAAAGGCCAAAAAAGGTACTCTTTCTATTTCCAAGCATTAGTCGGAAAGCATTTCAAATTCGGGATAGGCAGTGTGGTGCTTATTCGAGAAGACGTCCACTCTATAACACTTTGGTGCTTTTTTACCAAAGCTGACCGGATCAGCCGATAAGGTTTATCAAAAAAAAAAATATTCTGTTTTTTAATTTTATTCTCCATATATAGTAGTCTTATATATTCTTGACATGTGTGAAAGTCACATACTTAGTTTCAAATTTATAAACTTGACACTTGAATAAGTTTATAAGAACACATCCATCAAAAATATTTTGATAGAATTCTAACCCATTAAATGTTTTTTTTAAAGAGAGACTTAAAAACGATCTCAAATGAGAACTTTTGAAAACTTTTTTAGATACTCATTTGACACTTACCATCATATGATTGGTTTGATTTTTTATTTGTGATTTAAAATTAAAATAAATTGTTTAGATTAATAAAATAGTATATTTGAGATACACATAGGGTTTTTGACAATGAAATTGAAGATGCTCTAAGATAGTTTCTAAGTTTGAAGACTTAATCCTCTTTTTTTTTCCGACAAAATCAGATTTCATTAATTTTAAAAGTATTACAAAGACATTATACAGAATTACTGTAACACAATTATTACATACGCAGCTGTATGTGCCATAAAGCAGAAGAGAGATTGACGATGCTTTCCGAAGAGTAGTCTTACTCGCTAACCGATCATATGATCTGTTAAGACTTAATCCTCTTAATTAAGACTATTTCATCAAGACTTTTCAGAGCATGAATAGCTTGTATTGTCCGGATACAGACTAGTACTTTTTAAGTACCTTACCATATGAGTGTCTTATATCGCGTAATATGATTATACTTTTTGTAGTAAGAACTCATTTAACATGTGGCCTAATAGGTTCAAGTGATTTGGAGTAACACAAAGTCAATCCTACCAACTTCAAAGTCATGTCCAAAAATTTAAAGTAAGCAATAACGTTAGCTAAAAAGAGAATCTCAGTAAAATTGACACAACATGAAAGGTAAAAAATGATTAGGAACACCAAACTCTTCAGCTACATAGCAAACAAAAAGAACTCAATAGAAGCAATTAGATTGCAAGGCTCAATTGAAAGAAGAAATGAGTGCCATGAAGATGATAGATGCGAACGACATAGAGCGCATGGACGCATCGGAACTTCTCGGGGACGAAACTGGGGTTGCGGCATTTGCTCCTCTGGACACCTCCGGTGCACCAGCTTCGGCCGTGGGAGATAAACCTGTTAACATCCAAACCCAAAATTGTAAATTATTAAACCTTTTATATATTATTAGATGAATACCTATGGTATGCGCGGATTGATGTTTTGAAAATAGTTAAAAAAATATTATGTTGATTACTCTTATTGCTAGTTTATATTCATTTTGTGTATGTTAATATATATAGATAATAAAATTAGATCAATCTTATATAGTTATAATTTTTATGTAATTATGATTTGAGAAGACAAAAATTCTTTCTATCTATTTAAATTTTTTGTAATAGTCTTTAAAAATCTTGTATCACAAGGAGAAGTAATTCATTATTAAAAATATCGAAAATATAATTTTATTTGAAATTTAGAAATAATATTTTATACTTTTGATAACTAGAATAACATTTAAACACATTCTTAATAAATTTTATATAGCCGGTTTTATGCAATTGAACCAATCCAAAAATATTAAAAACCGGAATTCATTAGTAGTTTATTGTTTTAAATACATATACAACAAAATTACATTTATATGTCCTTAAATATTATTCATTTATAGTTTTCTTATCTAAAACCAAAACAAAAACCAGACAAAATAAAATTCCCAAACTAAACTAATTTTATTAGAATAACTCATAAAATTTTATATTTAGATGACTCATAACCAGTGTTCAAGAAAGCGCTAGGCGCTAAGCGGGCGGTGACCCAGTGCCTAGCGCCTAGAACGCTTAATCGGGGCCTAGGCGATTTTTTAGACGGTTTAGACGTTTATAACATAAAACATTATAAATATGATATTATATATAAAAGTTATATAAAATATCTATATAAAACTAAAAAATATGAAATTATAAACAAAAACTAGACAAAACATTTATTTATATTTATATTAAACAATATATAAATATTTATAACTATATATATAAATAAAACTCTAATTAAAATTGAAAAAATACATTAAACAAGATCTATGTAATTTTAGGCGGTCAAGGCGGTTATCTAGGCGTCGCATGAGAGCCTAGCGCCTAGTCGGGGCCTAGGCGACCGCCTAGACCGCTTTTTAGAACACTGCTCATAACTAGAATAAAATTTAAACATATTTTTGTATAAATTGTATAGCCGGTTTTTATGCAAATGAACTAAACGAAATTGATAAACTGGAATCTATCAGTAGTTAATTTTGTATTAATTACATTACATTTGCAGGAAATTTACATTTAAATGTCCATAAATATATAATCTAATTATTCATTTCTGACAATCTTACCTAAAAAAAACAAACCAAAAACCAGGTCAAATCAAAATTCTCAAACTAAACTAGACATGTCAATTAGGACGAAAGCCCGCAGGCTAGCCCGGCCCATCCCTGAAAAACAGCGGGCTCGGACTTCAAAATATATGTCCAGAAAAAAAAGGGCCTTTCGGGCTAAAGAGTTTTTTGGGCTTAGCCCGGCCGGGCTCGGGCTAGCCCGAAAAGCCCTTTAAAAAATATTTTGACCCTTTTTTAATATTTTCGTTTAATTGTAAGATTTGTTGTAAAAAAAATTTTTGACAGAGTTGCAAACCCTAAACTTACTTTTTTTTTGTTGTGTATTACTATAAATCGAAAAAGCAAATATTAGCTCTACTACCTAATTTGAATTATTTTGATTTTATATTTTATTTAGTATAAGTTTAAACAATTTATTTGGATTATTTATTTAATTTTAACTCTCTTTTTTAAAAACTAAATTAGCGTTAGTAGTTATTTAAATTTTGATTGACTCGTTTCATATATAGATTTTTTTTAAGAGATATTAGAAATTATAAGTTTTTTTTTTTTGTCGGAAGAAAAGCCCAAAAAAGCCCAGAAAAGCCCTGTATCCCTGTTAGGGCCGGGCCGGACTCAAATATGTACGAGTTTTGCGGGCTTCGGACCGGGCCGGGCCGGGCTACCCCGATTGACATGCCTAAACTAAACTAAAAAAATCTTTATATCATAAATTCAACAAAATATCAAAAAACTATAGACTCTTGACTTCATTATGAGAGAATCCATACCAGGGGCAGTAGCAGGAGGAGATCCAGCGACAGAAACTGCAACACAACATTTTCAAAAGTTTAATCAACAAAATGTACAAATATGTGTAGAATGATTAGGATTTCTGAACAAATATGAAATTTCTGAAAAAATGTATTTATATATTTAAAAAAAAAATAAGATTCTGAAAAGGAAACTTACGGCCACAACGAGCAGACGGAGGAGCAGCAACTTTACAAACAGAAGGAAGAGAAGCAGCTTTAGAAAGATCAAGAGTAACACCAAGAGAAGCACTATTCTTGAAAGCCTCACATAGACATTCTGGTCCTGACCTAACCACAGTCTTAAGCCCTGAACAACATGTTCCTTCTGGCTTCACCACGGTACTACCACTAGTCACGAACGACAAACAATCAGCCATGTTTAGTATCAACGATGAGCAGTCCACTGCTGCATGAACGCTCTCGCCGGACATGATCAATGCCACCGCCGTGAAGATCATGAGAATAGTTGCGGATGCCATTGTAATGATGATGAGTCTCTTTTGTGCTCTCTAGCTTGCTAAATAAATGGAATTGCCTTTTTCATTTATTATTTTTAATTTTATATTTTCGCCGAAAGAGAAGACATGAATCATTACTTTCTCAGTGTGTGATTTGCTTTATGGAATTTGTTTAAAATTCGGTCGTTTATTCCAGATTGGTAGAATTTTTCTATGAAAAATAAATGTTTATATTACGATTAATTATTGAGATTAAACTGAAATTTCAGATTTTATAAAGGGAAAACTGAAAATTTACAGAAATTTTAAACTATAACATCTGCAAATATGGTAAGCTAACATAATATTATTATTTACGTCATGTGATAGCATATGATAATATTATGCATAAAATTATATATTAACATAACCCAGCCCCGTCTCTGACCTATGGCAGAGTGGGCATTTTTCAAGGGCCCAAAATTTTAAGAGTCTTTTATTATATAATTTTGTTATATGATTTGAAAAAAAAAACAAATTAATTAAATAAAAGGGCCTATAATTAAAAATGTTTCTAACATAAAAGGCCCAAAAAAATAACTAACCTAGTTATAATTAGCAAAATGTTTCAAAAACTTAATTAATATAATCAAAAAAACGTGTAAAATGGTAGAAAATAATCAAAAAACGTGTAAAAGAGCCCATATTTTTTTAAAAAAAGTGTAAATTAGCCTGAATTTTTTTAATAATAGGGCCCAAAATTTTTTAAATTCTATTTTTTACATAAAAGGGCTCATATATTTTTATTTTTTTTAAGATAATTCAAAATTTTATTTATAAAATGGTCCAAAACTTAACTAAAAATTCAAGAAAATTTCAAAAAAAAAATTCTATAACAAAAAGTCCAATAATTTTGTTTCGCGCATTTTTATAAAAATAATTTATTAACGCTCATTTGCTATTCAAACAAAACATTCAAAAATTATTTACTTAAAAGTTTGACTAGAAAAAATAAATATGTGGTATACCGCGGGTCAAATACTAGTATTTTATAAATATCGTATAAATAAAAAGCCCATTTTTGTATTTTGCCTAAGGTTGTACAAAAGCCAGAGACGGAGCTGACATAACCATTGTTCTTTAGATTTTTTTTTTTTTTTTTTTTTTTTTTTTTTTTTTTTTTTTTTTTTTTTTTTTTTTTTTTTTTTTATGTTCTTTAGATTTTGTTTAGTGTATAGGTTCATATTTTTGTGTAGAGTTAATTTGGTATAAGAAAATACAAAAATGGCAAACCGTAAGTAACATAAAAATAAGTGACTTTAAATCTGAAAGTGTATTGTCAGAAAATAAAAATAAATTGATGAAACAATGAACTGTAAACAAACGAATGTAATGATGAGCAAGAGTGGAGAGAAAGTGCCATGAAATGAATGCCAAGTTGGCAAAAGGTGCAAAGATTTCCTTTTACAATCCTATACATAAAACAATTCATGCACTTTTTCTCACTCTACATCTTTTTTCTTTATTTGAAATTTGAATGATGCACTTTACATTTGAGGTTTCACACATTCTTTCGATTTAAAAGTAGAAAATATCCAACAAAAAATGTAACTTACTCTCCCATTTTAAGGTACCAAATATTGTCAAAGCTTAGATTGATGAGAAGTTTGGATGGAGGTTCTATATATATATATATATATATATATGTTGAGGGCGAAAGATTGCTTACGGGTTTGAATTTTGCTAATATTTTTCGTGTTTGATGTGGAGAAACCACATGCTTGACAATATGTAGCATTGTTGGAGACAATAGGTCAATAAACCTCATTCGTGAGCAACAAGAAGAGCTTAAAAACTTAAGGAACATGGTGTATATGTATTTATTCCGAAGGATAAAAGACATGGAGATGCAAGATTTGTAACACGCCTAGCATAACAAAATTTGATTAGTTTAAACCTTAATCCATAAAAATAGTACATGAAGTCCCCGAATTACAAGAGAGGACATATGGATCACATGAAGATATGAAGTTGAAGATTCTCCTGCGATTTTAGTTTCTATGTTTGTTTGAAGATCCGTCGAGTGGGTTTTTGGGTGAATTTTGTGTTAGGTTTTTCTCGATATCATCTCTTACTAATAAAATGGATTCATTGAGGCCTCTCAACCTATCCACATCAGCATCTATACTAATAAAAGGGACAATTTGAGGCTTATAGAAGTGTCCACATCAGTATTTCAAAAAATACATTACAAGTTGCCACATCAGCATGCATGTCTCTTTAAATTATCCAAAGCTCAAAAAAAATCCAAGAGGATGCCACGTTAGATCAAAACTCAAATTCGCCTTTCTTCTCAGACTTCTCCTCTTCCAAATTCTAAATCCATATCAGTTATGCTGACGTGAGTCACGTCTTCCTTCCTCTTTAAATCCCTCATCAGAAAACAAGTGAGCTTTATCTCTAATCGACGCTTATGCTTCCTCTCAATTATTCTCATCAGATACATCTGACTTTTTCTAGGGTTTCACGTTCTAAACACTCGATTGAGCTCCACCATATCGGCTATCAACAGCCACCTTTCCATCACAGTTATGTTAAGGCTTATAAGAGGGTTGTCATCGGGATCGATCTTTGGGTTTTAAAGCAAGGAGAAGAAGAGGGATAGAAGAGATTGGGGGAGAAGAAAAGTGTAAATTTTTAGAGTTTATAACTTTTTAGTGTGTCGCTTTCACGGACTTCTGAAGCGACAGCATTCATGGTGGCTTCGTTAGCCTTTGAATCCCGTTAATGAAAACACCCACTTTTTAAACTTATGTCGTCAATCTTAAGCCCACATCTAAACATCGTAACAGATGTGGGACTAACTTTTCCAATGTTATTGTGACGTTTGATAATCCAAATTTTCTAGAGACTATGATCATGCAATCTCGGGATATGCATAGCGTTGAGGTTGGCGCATCACCAACTCCCTTACTTCTTCATGTAAGGTACATGTTTGTCTTCTCTTCTCATGTCTTTTACGTTAAAACCAGAAGACATAAAATATCTGGTTCATGCATGGTTGAGGATTCCACTTTACGCTCACAAGAGTTAATTAGGTACAAAAGCTAACACATGGGCTTCTTACTGTTTTCATATATATTAGTAACTAAACTACTAAGCAAATTAAATTCCCCACATTTGAACAAAATAGCAGTTGAAAAAAGCTTTTGGGAATAGCCAAAGGTCCATTCCCTAAAAAAAAAATGCTACGCCAACATTGTCCTCATATAAACTCTATTTCATTCAGTATTTCTATGTCCATTTTAACTTTGCTGAAACAATTTCATTCAGTACGTATTGTTAGATCCACTTAAATTTTTATTCGAATGAATCTTATCTTTTCTAATGATGGCTTATGATCTGGATTTCCAAGCAGCAGAGTCTACTGTGCTAAGTCATGTCATGACTAATATGAAGCATAACTCCAGACATCTTGCTATAACTATTTCAGTCCGTTTCTTTAATCAAGATTGACTACATTACGTAGTGACCAACTTTCATCACTCTATTTCCCATATTGTTTTTGGTTTGTAATTAAGTTTGAAGCTCACAAGTTTACAACCTCTATTTTTTGGGGTGTATGTGCTATTCAGATTGAAAACTGTTGGGAAAGTGTAAGGTGGAATTAACATTATTTGGTTCTTCGATAGATATGTACCAATAGTTGATTAAACACTGGGACTTGCCTTGGCAGCTGCTTGGAGGAGGTTCGATAAAGGCTTATGTGCTATGATGTAGAGGATCTATACGCATAATAAGAGTAAGAAAATGCTGAAAAAATGCTACAATATGGAGAAAGAGATGTAAGGGAAAAATAAGGATTAAGAGGATGATGTGGGATAAGAGAATCACCAAGTTGTGTTGTCAAACTGAATAACTTACGGTTATTACTTACACTAGATTGTTACAATTCAAATACGCTATATATATAGGAGAATAAGATGAGAGAAGAGGGCATCGAGAGATCATTTGTGGTTGAGGCTGGAGAAGGGAGAAGCAAGCCGTCAGTCTGCTAAATTTTTAGTAGCTAAGACACACACGAGAGATAACTATCGAGGAAATGGTGATGGCAAAACTTGGAATATAGAGAAAATTGATGGATGTGAGAAAGAAGCCGTAGAGTGAAGATGAGACCAGAGAAGTGTTATGATTGGAAAATGAAATAGTTGAGCATGATCAATAAGATAGAAGTCCTAATTCAAATGAGGACGAAAAGAATGTGGAAACAAAGGTGTTGTAGTGACATACTCAGAAGGAAGATACGAGAAGACTTTAAGGTAGGTCAAAGTCTCATTTAGGGTGCATACATATTGCTAAACTTCATTAGTAAAGTCTCATTTGAGTTTCTTTACTAAAGTACCCAATACAACATCATATTATTTATTTTCTTCAATCTATACAAAAGAAACTTGAAGAAAATTATAAGAAGTTAACAAACTTTAAAATATCAATCGTTAACTATAACCGGGCGTAGTCCGGATTCGCCCCTAGTTGTCAGAAAAACTCTCTCAAGATGCCACATAGGCAGGTTCTGAAACCCTCCTTCCCTTAGTGCCACGTGGCAGAAGTCAAAGCTTTATAACCCTCGAAACGGTGTCGATCCTAATTGCCCTCTGCTATAAACTCTTACAATTACACTTCGAAACGTCATTTTCATTGCTTCTACCTTTCCTCCAATCTCCCGTGAGATTGAGATCTGAGTCAATCTCACGATAATCAGAGCAAGGTTATAGCTCAACCAAGTTCTACCGTCCTTCTTCTTTCAAGGTTTCTCATCTCCTCCAACTCTCGCTCCATAACATCTCTTAAAGAGATTGCTCCATCACAGCCCTGAAAGCATCATAGTTTTGAGAATTAGCTTTATCAAATCAAAATGTGCTGAAGCTTATTTCATGTTTTCCTAAACGATGCCCTTACTCGATCAAGGTATTCTCTTCTTCTATTGGTTTCTAATTCCTCTCTAATCACTCTATATTTTCTTATGAGAGAGCTTCCAGCGAAGAATATTGTTCTTTTGTATCAAACTTAACAATATATGTTGCAGAAAACGAGAGACGAATTCATACAGTTTAATTTAGTGCGAACGGGATTCAATAAAATTCAACTCTACTGCTATATTCTACGATATGATGCATCGATTGCATATGTTATAGGGTTATAAGACACCTTCATGTTTGGCCTAATGTATTTTCAAAAGAAGGGAATAACCGATGGGAGGTGATTGAGAACGTTTCCAAGTTAGAAAACAAAATGATGACATGGTTTTGTAGTTGGAGAAAGAAAATTGTAGTATTTGATAACATCCCGTTCAAATACGCTAATGCATTCAGGTAGAACGATATAATCGAGCACGTTAATAATTTCAAAACGTCTCAAGTAACAAGCATTCGTGTCTCAGGTTAGGGCTTTTAATTTAAGCATGTATTCGATTATCTATGATCTTTCTCTTCTAATTACTAACGGCAAGTTCAAAATCTTTCACTCCAGTGTATTATTGGTAAATTTATTTTCTTCTATTGGTTGATTAATTATGAGAAGTTCAGAATGTTTAAGCTTCAAAACTGCAGCAAGAATGCATATTACTCACCGATCGAGTTGAACTCCTCAACATAAGGTACGTACAAACAGATTGATACCTATGTATATATAGGGTTTTCTTAAAGAAAAAAGTTGTAAAGAAAGGGCTTCAGATGTTTTATGTTGTGAGGTTCTTATTTTGTGTTTAGTGCCTCTATCATGTATGTATAAAATATATTTAGAGCGTCGGAGTGATTATAAAAAGGATCTTATTGTTCCTTTGAGGTTAATGTTATATAGCCATTTTCTTCAAATTATTTCCTTGGATCTCACGATACTCCTACAAATTAGGTTCCTATATATCATCCCTAGATGGAATGACAATCATGAATTAATTTGACGTAGGAATTTAAGAGCCTATAACTCATTTCATTCTTCTACTTGCACAATGTGTTGTAAACACTTTCATTAACCACTTTCAAGCTTCTATCTATTATTTCATCTCTTTTCTGTAATCTATTATGGTATTATGTAGTGAATTGTTAGGTTCTATCTATAAATTAAGAATTTCGTACTTTTGGATGCTGAAATTCGAAAGGTATAAGAACCACGGTATATTTTGACAGATCATGCCGAGGATGAAAGGCTAGAGTTGTATCTCAGAATTCTGGTTTTTAAACGTGGTATCTCTGCTTTCATGTATTTCTATGAACCTCTTACATATGTACCAAATTTTGCTTTATAGAGTGAAGGAGATTATATGTAGATTCTTTTTGTTTTAATACCATTTTTGATGATTTAATTTCAAAGTGAAATTAAAAGATCATTTGAACAAATTCGTTATGCAACAAGGAAAAGGTACTTTTTAGCAAAGATGAAGATTATGTAAATGGTGACTCTTATGTGCTTTTTAGGAAAGATGAAGGTTATAGCTAGCAGCATCAGGGAGAAATACCCTAACAAAATTCAGGTACGTCGCTAATTTATTTTAATTTTCTTTGACATTCGGGTATGTCTCTTGTTTAAATCATGATCAAGTATCCTAACATTAAACCAAAAAAAAAAAAAACATCATGTTCAACTCTTCCTCCTCACGACACATCTGTTGACGTTGTACAACAAGGCTTTTACATATTTTTTAATCTTCTCCTCATTTAACAGAGAAACATATTCGAGGTTTATGAATTTCTCATTCTAATATATTTTTTTCTAAACACATAACGACCTATCCAACCCTTAATTTACAACTACTTCTTAATTTTGTGTGTTACTATTCTAAACATAAAATAAATAAAAACTAAACTACTATTTTAAAGCTAAAAATTGATTGTTTCATATTACACAAATCATATAACTTACTAATATAAATTCCACCGCACGTAGCGCGGTTTAACCCCCTAGTTTGTATTAAAAGTCTCTCTGTTTTTGGGGTAAAGCTTCCGAGAGTTTTAATCTCGCCAACTCAGTTTCCAGCAGTTTTCGGACCCGCTGGCTCTTGTAATGTTCCATAAAAATCTTCTAATGCATAGATTTTTATGTACTATTTGGTGGGAACTTAGAAGTGAATATAAGCATCTTTTCTTTGTTTGTTCATTGGTCTGCTGGTGAATCGTGTGTAAAGATTTCTCCAGGTGATCTTCCATGGGGTTTTTGAGATAACTAAAATTAGCGTGTACATAGCGTATTGGTAGGAAATCGCGATAAAAAGAGACCAGACCAAAAATTTAAGGACCAACTGTGACACATGATCCGTTTGACGTGATTGGTACAAAAGAGAGCTTCAATCTGAGAGCCTCAAAGTCATTGCTTTTTCTCTCATCACTCGTCAACCAAATCGCTAAACATCGGTCCATTAACTCCTTACCACAGGACCAAGCTGAATTTCCTTTCAGAATCCTTGCCCTATCGAACCTTAAGATATTGGAGAGGTTTGAATCGGATGGTTGGGCAAGAAATGCTTTCATGGTTGCTTTAATGGCCTCACACCATAGAGGACGTCCAACGTTCAAGAAATCCTGCAATGCCGTCACGGGAAGGTTTACACTCCCCAATTCTGATTCATTGCGTCCGCCTTTTCCATGATAATCTGATCCTCCTAGCTTTAGCAGACTGTATGTATCAGCCAACTCGCTAAACACTATTCAATAACCATTAAAATTCAGTGAACCCAAATAGATAGATAGTATGATAGAGAGGGAACGAGGGAGAGAGAGAGTGAGAGACCTTCTAACTTGCCGTCGCTCCTATAAACCTCAACCCCATGAAGTCCAGCATCTTTCAATCTCCTAATAACACCAACATGATTCTTCAACGCCCACGGATGTGCAAGAACAGCTACACCACCGGTTTTGCATATAAGTTTTACTGCTTCCTCGGCCATAGGCTCGCTCCCTCTGCAATAAGGTTATGCAACCATCCAAATAGAAAAAAGTCAGTGTGATACTGATAGGTTTTAAACCAGTACCAACGAACTACACCAAAAAAGAAAATGGATTAACAATTAAAATCTCTAACTCTCAACCACTACCCAAAGCAATATGCAAGACCAATCCTACAATATCCAAATTCATTCTCCCTAAACTTCCTTTTGACCTGTTAGATCTCTAGCTAAACGACTCAAAGGAACTACACAATATAATATTAGATTAACGACATAAGTCAATAAGTCTCTAACAATGCCCAGAGCAAGATCCAAGACCAATCCAGAATACCCCAACTCATAGTGCCTAAACTTTCTTTTAGCATGTTAGATCTATAGTTCCTCTAATATAGTTGATGAGCTGTCAACACAGCTAAAATCCACTACAACCCACCTAGGGTAAGCACTAGACTAGCATTTGATAATCATAAACGCTTAAATCCCGCAAGGTTCAATAAAATCAGCCAAACTAGGGAAAAAGCAGAACATACGTGGAATAAGCAGGTCCACCATCATGTAAATATTTAGTGAAAGCTTGTTTCAAATTCTCCACGTATCCTGCTTCAAGAAGCGCTCGGGCTACGTGCATTCTACCCGGAGCAACATCCTTGCCTGCAATCCTGGTGACATGTTCCCATTTTAGAGGTACCTTCAACTTATTCAATTTCAAGACCAT